GCAGGAAAGCTCCACTCCCAGGTCCTCCTTGAGGGTCACCAGGGAGCCGGAGTCAAACAACCGCACAGGTGACGCCTTTGGTCCCATTCCAGAGAGGGCGTCTGGGTAGGGCCGGGTTGGAGGGGTGTGGGAGGCTCCTAGTCTACAGCCAACCATGGCTCTCTCCAGCCCCACAGAACAGCTGCCGGTGTGAGAGGGTGGGGAATGGCGGGCTGGAGACCAGGAGATGTTAGGTCCTGGCTGGGCCTCAGTTTCCCGGGAGTTCTGGAGAGGTTCACCCAGCCTGGGCTCAGCAGCATGGCACCAGGGCTCTCCCTCCATCCCTGCCACCTTCCCTCCTTACCGATGGGGTCTTGTTGGAAAGGGTCTCTCTGGTGATTGTGGTGGGGCAAGCCCTGGCGGGACTTCCTGTCCCCACTCACCCTGCCTCAGCTGCAGAGTGAGGACATCGGGCCCCCCAGGAAGGAGATTTGGGTTGGGAGCTGAGCGCGGCCCCTTCAGCTGTGGCCCCTTCCTCCCTTGCCGACCCCTCGGGGAGGCCTGCATGGCCCCTCCTATGCCAGCCGTCTGGATCGGGCTGCAGAGGAGCCCACAAGCAGCTTCCAGCATGGTTGACTGGGGGAGGCTCGTGAAGCTCCCCAAGGCCATGTCCATGGCATTGAGTGGGCAGCAGGGCCGGGAGGACTCGGGTCCAGGCAGCCCCCAGGCCTGTTCTGTTTGTGTGATGTTCACTGTGACAATGGCGCAAGCTGTGATACAAAGTGTCCTGTGTTCAGAAATGCCGGGCCCTCGGAGGAACTGGAGGAGAAACAAGAGCCGGAATGCAAACACGAGCTTTCCCTGGACTCATCTGCTCTGCAAACAAGCCCGCCCCAGCCTCCGGCCGCACCCAGGCTCTGGGCCAAGTGAGATCTGCTGCCCTCAGCCACCTGGGATGCACTTGGCCACATCCAGAGGTCTTCCCAGGCCGGGCCCCGAGGGTCGAGGAGCCCAGTGGTGTAGGAGACGTGGACCCAAGCAGTCCCCACACTGTCACTCACAGTCAGGCATCAGGACCCGTGATAGGGATGTGGGGGGACAGCTGTGACAGGCCCCGGCCCAAGAGGCCCCTGTAGGCCAGGCAGTCAGGGACCTTCCTGCCAGGGAAGCGACTGTGCTGAGCTGTGGGCTCTGGAATGGAGGAATAGAGAGACATGCAGGACCTCCCAGGCTGAATAAGCACAGACCCAGGCAGCAGGGAAGCAGGGTCAGCTCCAGGAGCCATCTGGGGACAGCCAGGAAACAGGACACGCAGTGGGGACGGTGGCAGAGTGGAGTCTGGAGTCCTGGAATGAGGCCTGTGTCTGGCTCACCTGTCAGCTGTGGAAGGGCAGGACGCAGGTCAGCAAGGTCCCAGGAGTCCCTCCCGGGTCCTCCCTCAGGCACACGTGGGGACAATGCCTCTCATGTCACTGCACCTCACAAGGCTCTGCTACAAAGAGGGGGGAAACTGGCCAGGCTGCAATCTCATGGGGAGGTGGAACGGTGGGTGATCATCACCCCAGCGTTTAAAATCTCAAACACCTGCATGTTGCTTAAAGGCAAGAAGGTCAAGGAGCAACTGATGAGGCTCTGTCCCCAGAGCACACCCAGGACTCATCCTTGGCAAGTTAGGATTCCTCCTTAGTCCCTGGCACCCCAGGGATATGGACAGGGAGGCTCACACCCCCACAGCAGAGACGCATGCACCCTTGTCTCTTGGGCCATGACCCAAAGGCTGTGAGCAGTGAGACCTGGGCACCCAGTAGCTGGGCTCGAGGTGATGGGGAAGGCTCTGCCCACAGCCTCACCTGAGGGTCCCCCATTCTGTTACTTTGGGGCATTGGGTTTTCAGTGCCTTAAAAAACGTGAAAGCGACACACAGAACTGGGGAGAGAGGAATACACAGTGCCCCTGCCCTCCCAACCTGTGTACATGCAGACCCAAGGCCAGCAGCCCAGGGCACCGTCTCCATGACACCCATTTTCCTAACCAGCTCTGGGAACAGACATGAGATTGAGCAGAACTCAGGCACCCATTCTGGCCTTAGAAAATCCACATGGTTTCATGTACTTGCTTCAGATTATTTTGAATGGGTGTTAAACCTACTGATGTAAGCAGGGCTAGATGGATGTTCCAGGGCTGTGCATTTCTATAAAATCTGGAGGACTCCCTAGAAAATAATAATAATATTAATCAGGAATCTAAATTTGATATGAAAATATTTTATGTAGAGAAAAATTCACATGATAAAAAACTGGCAATTACAATAACCAGCACTGGTACAAGAGATAGGTCTGGTGAAGCCAGCTGGGGAAATGAGCAGGACTTCTCGGTTGCAAGATCCCAGGACAGCGCTGTAGTGGGTTGACTAATGGGCAACTTGCAATTCCCAGCTGAACTTAATCAGTGTGGTCTGAGCATGAAGGATCCACCTGAAGATTGTTACCAATACCATAAAAAGAGAACTGGGAGGAACAGTTTAGTCTTTTGATTTATCTAGGAGAGGTTCACTGTGGATGGATTTCCTGACGTGAACCCAGCTATTCTTGTTGGAGGAGGAGCTCGGGACCTTTCTTTCGCTGGGAATGGCTGCTGCTTTCATCAGGGGAGCTCTGATCTTTACTGTGAGCATCACTTCCTGGCTTCAGTGAGGATCCCTCAGTCTGGTGGTACAGATCCTTCATCTTAGGAGCATAGATTTTCTGGTTTCTACCATTGGCCTTTGGGCGTCTAGTGTGCAGTTAATCTCTTGCACTCCTTTGCATTTGACTCTTTGGGTAATTAACATAAAATAACCTTATAAGATCTGTATTTAATGTATTCCCTCGCTCAATCCTGCTGACTGCAACAAGTGCCAAATAACTCCCAGGTCCCTGGATGTGGAACTTCTCACAGGCTCACACTAGATGTGAGCAGCATAAAAGAGCCGAGTGTCCTGGGGGTGCCCATTCTTGTGACTCTTCAGGGTAGTCTGTTCCATGTCTCCTGCCAGGGTGCGCTTTTATTTGTCCTTTTATCTTTGCATTTTTCGACCCAAATTAGCTCTGCAGAGCTAGTTCTTCCTATGTCTCTGCACATTTTTCAGATAGACTGATGATTGGCACCATTTGTAGCTCATCTCATCCAATTTGTTGTTCAAAGTAAGCAGGACCTGGAGATCTGGGCGTGGTGGCCCACACCTGTAATCCCAGCACTCAGGAGGCTGAGGCAGGAGGATCGCTGTGAGTCCAAGACCAGCCTAGGCTACATAGTGAGTTCCAGATCAGTCTCAATTGCATAGTGAGACCCTGTCTCAATTAAAAAAAAAAAAAAAAGGACCTGGAGTACTTTTAATTGGCAAACCATTTTCAAATTACCCAATACCACCACTTGGGGGGCATGGAACTTGGTTAATAATTACTTCCTGGGATACGGCTGCTACCCTTTGTCTTGGCTTCCTAGGAAGCTGAATTTACAGGATTTCCTGTAAGTAGAATAGAAAGATGACATAGGCTTTCCCCTCTGCGTGGTTGGAAATCCAGTTTTATCCCAATCACAGGGTCATGTTAAACAGGTAGCCTCCCACCTTGATGTCCTCACAAGGATTCTTGTAGGTTTTGCCCCGTGCAGAAGAAGCCCGGTCAGTTCTACTTGGACTTGTACCATCCAGAAGCCCACGATGGTGCAGCACATGGATGCTCATGCGTGGTCAAGAGCAGAGGGAGGACAGCACCTCCACTCCTTCCCTCCTCTGGGTTATGTTGTTTTGTTTCTCTTCTCTAACAACTTTTAAAAATCTGTTCTTGTGTGGAATTTCTGGAATCTTGACTATTTCGTGTCTTGGTGTAATTTTTGTTTTTGATCATGGATAATTGGAGCTCTACATGCCTCACTTATCCTGGATATCGTATTCTTTTTCCCTGCTTGGGAAGTTTTCTGCTATTATTTCTGTTAACAGGGTTTTTATGTCATTTGTGCTATTTCCTGCTTTTCCATGGGCTCCAAGCAATCTTATGTTATTCTTCTTGGCATCATTATCTAGCAGCTATTGGATTAATTTTTCATAGTCCCTTGCCGTTTTTAAGAGATGGTTCTTTTGATGGTCGCTAACCACATCCTGTCTTCTATAGCTGATGTTCTGTCTTCACATTGTCTCATCCTGCTGCATATACTTTCAATGGAATTTTTAATCTCCTGGATATCTGCTTGAGTCTGTTTCATGGATTCCATTTCTTTCCTATATTGGGCATTCATGATTTTCATCATTTTCCTAAGCTCCACTTTTTTAAAGTCTGTATTTGAGCTAGAGTCTAGTGGGCTGTGGCTGCAGCCCCTTTACCAGTCTGTGCTCCTGGTCCATTGTTGATCTCATGTACATGTGTGTGTGCTCACATGTGTGTACACCTGTGTGTGGTGTCTGTGTAAACCCACCCCATCTTGGTTTCCCTGTGTCTGAGCCATCGCTGCTCTTCAAGTGGAGCAGGGTCCCAGGTGCTCCCTGCCCTTAGTGAACCCACACCCTTGTTCACACAGCAGGTCTGTCCTCTCTAGTACTAACCTGAGCTTTCAGGACCTGCCCAGGGACCAGGAAGGTTACTGAGGCCAGAGCCCAGGACTCTGGCTGCCACAGCACCCTCTGTGGGCCTTGGGGTCCACTGTCCCCACACACATCCTCAGGGCTCCACACACGAGGGCTGCACCCCATATGCCCCTCCTGTGGGGTTCTGCAAGCAGCCCCTCTGGACACTGTCCCTGGCCTGTCATCCTCTGGGGTGTAACCACTGCTATTCAGCAGCTCCAGCAAGTGTGACACTTTCCTGCTCCACTGAAGAGCTGGCCCCGGTGTGCAAGTGTGTGGCCAGGAAGGGACCTGCTGGTCCAGCTTGCCAAGTCCCAGGACCCCTCTGAGCTGTATAAAGGGCAGCCCAGAGAGTGAGGGCCCAGCAGAGCTTCTCTGGCCTGTGAGTGAGCACTTGGACACCAGACTGCACACCCTGAAGATGAAGACCTTGATCCTGACCTTTGGCCTTGGCCTCATTGCCGCCCTGCAGGCTCAGGACCTCCCGGTCGTGGAGGAGGAGAGCCAGAATGTGAGGCTCCACTGGGCTTGGGGCTGCAGGGGGCAGGAGAGGCGAGCCTGCTGGATGGAGACCCTCACTTTAGGGTCAGGCGAGAACCCTGCCTGAGGGAACGTCAGATGGAGCAGGAGGCATCTGGGCAGATGGGCCTGGGGTGCAGAGGGTGGTGGGAGATGGAACCCACACTTCACTTCCCTGGGGAACAGGCACCCCTAGCACCTGGTCAGAGTGGTGAGGCTGCTCCAGGTCTCCAGCCTTTGGGGGCAGATAGGGCCTGGGGGCTGCAGATGAGGGAGCAGAGGCCCCAGGGGGTTAGCTGAGGCTGACAGAGGTGCCTTCTCTAGGAGTTGGGGACATGGTATCTGAAGGCTGTGGCTGCTGACACAGAGGTTCCTGGGAAGAAGAATGGGTCTCTGTCTGTGACCCCCATCACCATCAAGATCCTGGAGGGGGGCAGCCTGGAGTTGAACTTCACTATGCTGTGAGTGTCTGAGGGTCACACGGCAGCCTGGCCTCTCTGTTTCCCTTCTCTGCACAGAAGAGCAGGGAGCTGAGGGGAAGAGGTTGCATGGGGTTGGGGGAGGTTCTCAGCCCCTGGGGTTTTGGGGTTGCTTGCCTCTGGGGTGAGATCCTAGGGAGGGGAGGGAACCTGAACAGACTTTATGGGCCCCCAAGGGCAGTGCCCACCTGTCCCATGAGGGGCCACTGTCTGCTGCCCAGCCTCTTTCCAGACAGGTGTTTTGCTCCCAGACCTGAATCACAGCTGGTTGGGGAGGAGGGGTTGTTCCTCAGGCTCTAGACTGAACCACTCCTAGGAACTCCTGCTGTGCAGACCAGCAGGGAAGGGGTTTGCATGGCCGGGCAGTACAGAGAGGCCTGTGGCATCCCTGTGTGGCTCCTGCCTGTGTTTGTTCCCACCTGCGTGGTTCCTGCCTCTGCATCTCACAGCTGTGTGCCCCCCCCTGCCTCTCTCCGCTCCCTCCTGGGCAGCTCGGATCTGCCCAGCTCATGCGTGTACTTCTCTCACATCTATGAGACTCCCACCTGTCTGACATCTGTCTGTGCTCCTGTCCTGGTAATCGGCCTTTAGGCAGCCAGGGACCTTGGCAATGACCTTGGAGTTTGCACCCCCCTGCCAAATTCCCCACCCAAAGCTTTCTCTCCATGGTCCAGGTGCCAGTGGACGTGGCCTGGTCCCTGAGAGGCCAGCTGAGAGGACTGGGCAGGGTGAGGTGAGGGCACTGGCCAGTGACCACAGATGACATCTACAGCCCACATAGCCAGGCTCCCTTTGGCAGAGAGCAGGAAGTGTGGACACCGCATGACACAGAGGCTGCCACAGGGGACACGGAGGACCTGGCTGGAGCCTGGATTCGAGAGGCAGCAAGGCCGCTCCTTCTTGGGCTCATCTGGACCCAGGGCACCTATAGGGCACAAATGGGGCTGCTGTGAGCAGGGAGGTAACTGGCAACCTCTGTTTTCCAGGATCGGAGGTCAGTGCCATGAGATCAGTGCCATCCTGGAGAAAACAGATGAGCCGGGCAAATACACAGCCTGTGAGTCCCAGGGCTCCCCAGAGCTGTGCGACCATGCACAGGAGATGGGGCCAGCTGGCACCTCCTGGTGGCCTTTGGCCTGAGATCTTTGCTCTCCTCTGACCCTATTGTACGCCCACCCTCCCCTTTCACTAGCCAGTTTGCCTTAAATCCAAACACTTGACCCTAAATGCTGCCCTGGCTGTGGGCACCATCCCCAGGAGGATCTGGACTGCCCAACAATTTCCTGCTGGGGTGGCCCAGTCCTCTGCCGGCAGCTCCAATTCTTTCTGTCTGCCTGGCTTGGGGCGTGACTGCCTCTCAGGTGGGCTTGGACCCTGAAAAGTGAAGACCCCATGCCTGCCTGGGGCCATGCCTGGTAGAGAGCCTGGGTCCAGAGCCCTGGGCATCCTGGCAGGAGGGCAGCCCAGGGGCTGGCCAGGCTGGGGGCTGGCTGTCTTGGGTGCTTGGGGAGCTTATTCAGACAGCCACTGTCCTCCTTAGACAGGGGCAAGCAAGTGGTACACATCATCCCGACGGGCGTGCAGCACCACTACATCTTGTACAGCGAGAGCACGTGGCACAAGCACGTGATCCGGACAGTGAATCTTGTGGGTGAGTCGCATTGTCCGGGGGTGTCCACCATGGGCAATGTCCTCAGGGGCTCTACCCCCACCCCACAGCTCAGGGTTGGAGATTGCCAGGTCTAGGTCTCTGCCGTGGGAAGGACGAGCTGCTGTGGGCACAGGGAGACAGATGCCACAAATGCCACAGCATGAGCCAGGGACCGGTGGGCGGAAACTGCAGTGCCATCCAGGAGCACAGTTCCAGCAGCGGGTGGGACAGGTTTGGGAAGAGGAGCCCCCGTTGAGAGCTCGCTCAACCCCAAACAGACACGGGGTGCAGTGTGGCTCCCACCTGTCCCGGAGCTCTTCCCAGCCAGGTGTGTGAGTGCGGAGCAGCAGGAGGTGTGGACGGCTGCTCCAGGGCTAGTCCTGCGTCCCCCTCCCGCCCTGGGAGAGCAGCTCTGGGTCTACACTGGCTGCCCAGGGCGCCCTGGTGCTCCTGTCCTACCCAGGCTCTCCACCCCCGGGGGTTGTCTAGGTCCCTCCCCAGCGCGAGCTGCCATCCTCCAGGCCAGGGTGGAGGTGCCTGCAGGTCCCCGCTCTGCTGCTCACACTCCGGTCTTGCCCTGGCCTTACCCGCAGGCCGAGACCCCGAAGTCAACCAGGAAGCTCTGGCGGAGTTTGAGAAGGTGGTAGAAGCCAGAGGCCTCAAGACGGACAGCATCTCCATCCCCAAGCAGAGGGGTAGGCAGGGGTCATGGAGGCCAGGGAACAGGTGCAGCCCACTCTGCTTGGTCCTCTCTGGGCCTTGGGAAATGCTGGCTGACAGAGGGTCCCGGGGTCCTGTGGAATTCCCAGGGCCCCTGAACCCTGGCTTTCTCTCTTCAGCGGAAGCCTGCTCTCCAGGAAGCGCCTAGGGTGAGTCTCAGGGACATGTGTGAGTCCCGTCCTGGCTGGCTGGGACGTCCCCCGTGGTCCTGTCTGGGAAGGGAGACCCTCCTGGCCGGAAGGGGTGGGATCTGCTCCTGGTCTCCCAGGCCATGGCATGGCTTCCCGTTTCCTCCTGGGATGTCGCTCCTGGGCAGTGGCTGGGCTGTGACAGCGTCCCTGTCCCTTGTCCCCAGCGTCCCTTATTCCCTCCTGTGGGCAGGTAGAAAATTCCTCCTCAGACCCCCGGGGTCCTCAGTGGTCCCCATGACTCTATTTACGCCATGAGTTGCCTTAAAGTCACGTGGCAGCCATGGCCATGGCCTCAGAGCTCCTGGGGCCCTCAAGCTGCAGAGCACAGGTGCGGCAGTGCAGACTCCAAACAACACCCTGCCCCCCCATCCCCAGGTGACTGGCAGAGGTCACCTGTCTCCCTTCCCACGCTGGTGTGCAGCTCTGTGGGCAGCTGGGGGTGGTGAAGCCTCCTCCCTCTCCTCCCAGTTTTGCCCCTGCAGCTCCCTGTCTTCCTGTCCTGGCCCCTCTGACCTCCCCTCCTTTCCTACTCCGAAGCAGCGTGGGGTCCCACCGAAACCTCTCCCTGAGGAAGGAGGAGACCCTCCCTCCTGCCAGGCCAGCAAGCCTCACCGCCTGCCTCCCTGTACCCCTGTACCCCTCCACCGTTCCTGAATAAACAGCTTCAGCAGTTCCCTGGCTCTGCCTGTCTGTGGGGTCCTGGGCTCCCCAGGGGGACTTCTGACAGGGTGAGCAGACGGAGAAGTGGGCAGAAAGTACCGAGGGCCCAGCCCCGTCCCGGCCTCCTGTGGGTGCTGCTGGCCAGGACAAATGAGACCCAGGGCTGGGGCCGCGGCTGGCGGCTCTGTGCGGGTCCTATGGCCGCTTTCTGCAGGCGCACCGCCCATCAGGCCCGGGTCTGGGTGGAGACTGAGAGGGGAGAGGGTTGTGAGGACCACAGGACTGAGGGGGCTCCAGCCCGCAGGAATGGACCCACCGGAGGCAGGAGGTGGGGAGTGGACAGTGGGGACTTCACACTGGAGGACTCTGGAAGGACAGACCGTGGCTCTCTGCCCCTGGCCACCAGCGAGAATCACCCCAATAGCTCTTCAACAATGTCAGATGCCTGGCGGAGGGTGAGGGTGTCCCCAGGGCCAGGTCTTGGCCATGCATCCCTCATGCCACCTGGAAGACCATTCCGCAAGCCCTGACTCCCAGCTCCGCCCCATCACCCAAGGGCAGTGCACCCTCTTTTGACTCCAAACTGGAAGAAGCCCTGACATTCAGCATTCAGAGTGGCTGTGCTAGAACCCTGGAGCCTCCACCACCAAGCAAGCTGCACTTTTCCAGTGTGGGATTCCTTGACACTGAGAAAATCACAGTTGACAGGTGACACGCGGTGCATCAGTGGCAAAGCCCATGGCAAGCAGGTGGATGTTAATGCGACCCCAGCACTGTGGACAGTCATCCGCAAGGCCTGCTGGGCAGGGGCGGCAGGCAGTTCTGCCAGCCCGGCTGGCAACTGAATGAGCCAGGAACGGAGCCAGCTCACTTTCTGACCCCCGTTCAAGGGATGGCCCGGGCTGGACAATCCCGTCAAACCTTGTTAGGTCACCTGGCCTCTGGAGCCCTTTATTCATTTTCTAACATTGAGAAGGAACCATGTGAGGGAACAGGGTTGGGGTCCCTCTCTGGTGAGTGCAGAGGCAGAAAGCACAACCAGGAGAAGTTATGTTATTCGCAGCAAGTCCACAAAAGTATAAACCACAACCGGCGAGGGGATGGAACTGGGGAGGCTCTGGGGTGCAGCTGGGTGCTTCTTCAGACCCGACAGGTGGGGTACTTCTGGAGGGAGAGTTTACCATTATGGGGAGCTCGTGCTGAGCAATACTGACTCTAGAGGGCCTCCTCTAGAAGTGGGTTAGGGGGCTTTGGATGGTTTAAACTTCCCTGCACAGCGTTATCCGAAACAACGACAGCGTGAAGGTGGTTGGTAGCCAGCAGGTCTCTAACCCTCCAGCTGTAAGCAACAAGGACCCAACCTTACAACTTCTTACCTAGCAGCTAACTGTTGTCCAGTGTCTCCTGGTGGGGTGTGAGGTGGGAAGCCTGGACCCCACTGGTAACTTGGAGGTTCTTTGGGTTGTTCCCTTTCTCTTAGACCATTCTAGCCAACTACCTGGCAACGCCTCCACACTTGAGACAAAGAGTGCTTGAACAGCCGCCAGCCCCGGAGACGCTGTGCCCTGACGCCAATCTCGCCCCCGATCCAGTGGGCAGCTGGCTTCAGGAAGGAGTCTGAGTCTGATGGTGGCTCCCTGGGGTGACCCACAGGCCTCAGTGAGGGAGGGTTGCCCTCCTTCCAGCCCGTCCTTCTGCCAGTGAATGAGGACCTGAACTGTAGTGGGCTGGGACTGGGAACTTGGTTCCAAGCGGGGACGCATCCTCCCCAGCAGGCTGGCCCGACTATGACCCTTCCAGGAGGCAGCTCCCTTGTACTACTCCAATGGGCTGTCTTCGGCTTGTGGTTCCCTGCTGGGGCTCAGCATCGGGGTGGGGTGGGAAGCACAGCAACGGCAGGAGCAGGAGCTGAAGGACCCACAGGTCGGGATGGGACTTTCTCTGATGTGTGAAGATCCAGTTCTGTGTAGTAGGTAGGGCCTCTCTTTTCTGGATGCAGAACGAACCTTTTTGGTGCCTGGGGGATCTGGTGCCAAGGTGGGCTGTGTAGGGGCTCCTCTGGCTTTTGCTCAACTCTTGCCACCCAAGGGCCATCCAGACCCTGGCCCTCTTCGTGTCCACAGGCCCAGTCCCATACTGTCCTTCCCCCATTGACCTCTTGCCTGACACCCTGCTCCCCACCAAACCCAGAGCTAAAACTCAGATGTTCTGGGTCTAGTCCTTTTTTTTTTTTTTTTTTTTTTTTTTTTTTT